CGCGTCGGGCGTGCCGTAGCCAACCACGACACCGCCTCCAACACCGGCCTGCATCCGCGCCGTCCTGCTGAAGACCCACGACGAGCTCCTCGCCGACTGCGTCCTGCTCCGCCCGCGACTGCGCCTACTCTATCCATGCCAAGCGCCGGGACGCGCCCTGCGTCTCCACCACGGTCACGTCCCCGTGGTGGAAACTACTGTCGTCCTCGCGACCGTCCATTGATGCGGTTTGGTGCGCCCGCGGATGACGGCCGAGCGACATGCGGATGCGATTTGTATGCGCCGGCGCTCGTCGCCGTCTCCACGTTCGCATTCAGGGCCGGCCGCGTGCTGGCATTGGTCGTGGCGTGTTCAATTGACTGAATGTATATGTTGCTGTTTGGTTGAATCTAGATGCAGTTGTAACATTTGAGGCCATGTTTAGTTCCTTCCCTTTACTTTGCTCCAAATTCAATGTTTATATATATATATACGAAGTATTAAATATAAATTAAAAAAAATAACTAATTATGTAGTTTGTGACTAATTTGCGTGACAAATCTTTTAAACCTAATTAGTTCATAATTTGACAATATGGTACTATAGTAACACATGTGCTAATAATAGATTAATTAGGCTTAATAAATTCGTCTCGCGAATTATTGACGGATCATATAATTTGTTTTTTTATTGGTATCCGAACATCACATTCAGGATCCTCATGTGACACCCGTTGTGACACTCCAAAGCTAAATTTAAACAAGGCCTAAATCTGGAAGGTTATAATTTCAGTGATAAGCTGTGAATCTCTTGGCATACACGATTGATTTTTGATGTGGTTGGCTGTATCCTTTCTGCAAGAGACTACACAGTTCACTATCACAATTGATCACAACACAGTATGCTAATTAAATGTTAAAGTTATCCTATGAAACTGTGACATGAAACTGTGTATTGAGAGATTCCGTTTCATTCTCAGCGTCGTATCTTGAAAACTGGAAGGTGAGACTGGCCTTATAGTTGATTACATAGGTGAAGTGTCCTTGCGTGTATTATTCGCAGATATGAGTATTATATATTTGAACACCTGTATATACCGTGTAAATAATATCTAGTCTGTATGTGTTATTAGAAAAATCTAATGGCCGGGTCTTCTGCTAGTGCAAGCTGAGAGATACCACCTGACCGGGTCCTACTCCCTCTGATCCTTTCTCATGCCAAGGAAAGGAACCGCTGTTTGGAAGGGTCCTCCTCCCCGTCGCCCGTCGGAGCTCTGTGATTCCTGCCCTCCCTTGAGGCCGGGAGCCCGGGACCGACCTCTCAGACTAGCTTCTCGTAGGCCGCGCCCCAATAAGACAGCGGCCGCCGATCGATCATGCCACGGCCACTGGCGTCGCCGTCAGCCGTGAGCCCGTGAGGACCGAGGAGGACGTCTGGGTGTGGTGTGGGACAGTGGGAGAGACGGTCCCTGCCTCCCTGCTGTCAGTGACCCGGGTGATGGGCGTTCAGTCCAGCCACTACTGACCTCTGAGCATGCGCACGTGTAGTGTAGGCCGCTCCCGCGAGGCCGCGACGAGGTTCGGGCCATCGGGGCTCGCCCTGCGGCATGTGAGCGAAGTCTGTGGGTCACTCCTGGCTTCTCGCCCTCGTGAGGGGCACGAGGGGAGAGGTCGGGGGTTTCTCATAGGGGAGTGATTAAACTGTCGTGAAGGGACGAGCGAAGTTACAATAAGGTAAAGTGTGGATGAAATGCCAATTAATTTATCCGGAAAAAGTTTAACATCCTTCTTACATGAGTGCCCCGGGCATTTATAGGCCATATCCGGTGGCACGGTGGAATTACATTTGGGTCAGACCCTAACCGTTACACGCTGTACAATGGCCAGAGGTACGGCGGTAATCTCCTTTCCTCGGCCAACCACTCCCGGGCCCAGCTGTTGACGGGCAGGTTCCTTTCCGAGGCAGGTAGCGACCTTCGCGCATCCCAGGGAGGGTTTATTCGCTGTCTCCGCCTCTCGACCTTCTCGCCACGCTCCACCGGCGCAGCTGACCTTTGAGCGTGCCACCTGAACACACAGATGAAATAAACCAAACATGGGCACCCTCGTCGCGGAGGTGGCGCCCAGGACGAGGGCGGATTAGTCGAGCTAGCTCCAGGTCGAGGGTTAGGGGAGGAACATGGGCACCCTCGTCGCGGGGGTGACACCTAGGACGAGGGCGGATTAATCGAGCCAGCTCCATGTCAAGGGTTAGGGGAGGAGCGGTGCCAGATACCTCCCCCAACAAAGTCACTTTTCCCGGGCAGTGACGTTCGCCTAACAGGGGCCCATTCGATTTGTCACGCAGCGCGGTTTATGATTCGATCCCCGTTTTTCTTTATAAAGTTTACGATTCGATCGTCGTCTAACTCTCTGCAGCCACTGCTCTTGTTTAGGATCACAAATTCACCATCATGCCATCCTCAACAGCAGCTAAGCGCGCGACACTTGTCAGTACTACACTCCATGTTGGAGTGATTTGTTATTACAGGAATGAGATGCGCATTAGTGTTTTGCTATTACTACGCGATTAGATTAGATCACAGCTACGTGTTGCGTAGGAGTAGCATTATTCTTTCACGCGCAGGCTTTGTCGGGTATGATCCAGGACCAGGTCACGTCGCGCCGAGTTGCAATTGCATCACGCCAGGCGTGGACACAAGCAAAAGGACAATCCGTGCATTATTATTATACGAGAGACAGCCGAAAATGCAAGAGGAGCTGCATTGAAATACACAGCCGTACGGGTGGACATAATTAGCAATGACCGAACCCAACTGCTCCAAAATTAGCGAAGTGTCTGAACAGAAATTGTGTCTCAACAGAGAAGACAATACTCCAATCATTGTCTGCAGGTAGTTCAGGCCAATAACCCTACCTAATGCGATTTCGGGGTCCATCATGGCATCACTTACTAATTAATCTTCATCATTATCTTGTCGCAATAGTGGATGATGGCATGCGATGCATTTGCAGGTGGGTCATTGTCTGAAAATCCTGCTCCTTCCACCTACCAACGAATACTAACAGATTTCTTGTGATTCGATTGACGGCTAATTGTGCCAGTTTAGAAGATCTGGTTTAGGCAATCATTGGAAGGAGCGGTTAGAACCGAATCATCGGATCAGATCATGTCTGCGGTTTGTAGGGGCAAGGGATTGTCCTTGGCTCGCCTCAATTATATATATGTTTACGTTGCTTTGTCAAATTAATCACACAAGACGGTTTGGCCGAGTGGTCTAAGGCGCCAGATTTAGGCTCTGGTCCGAAAGGGCGTGGGTTCAAATCCCACAGCTGTCAGCTTTATTTTCCTATTCTTTTTCTCCATCTTTTTTTTTTGCTTTTTTGTGTGCTCTTTTTCTATATTTTCTAGATAATTATGATGCCATCTTATCCTATATTTTCTAGATATTGTGAGGCCATCTTATCTTTAATATCCTTTGGCTGTGCAAATAATCATCTCAACATATATGAGGTTCTTCGACAGTTCCATGGATACTGGAAATATTTCAGTGGGGATGTACAGAGCCCAACTTGATTAAAGAAAACAGTAAAATACAGTATTCTTTGGAGGGAACACATTACGGGGTGGCTATGGAAGCATTTTTCTTTTGTTTGGGGCTATGCATGCATATTGAAAATTTGAAAGCAGACCAAGTAGTTTATACTCTATAATCTTCAGAGAGAAAAAAAAAAGATCCAAATAGCTAATAGGCCAAGCATAACCAGTAACCAGAGCCCAGAGAGGCGTGTGCGGGCTGAAGTTGAACGTGCAGGGCATAGACTGAGCCCAGTTAGCTTGGTGCCATGCGTCATTGATCTAATTATATATTATATTCAACTAGCAAACGTATCCATGCATTATAATGAGACGTATAATTTGTTTGAGATGGTGTTAATGATAACAAATTGGATATTTTTGTTGAATTTAATTGATCTTGACATAATTTTAAATCAGATAGTAAATTCCAAGGCCCGTATTAGATGCTAGTGCAATAAAGGATTCATTCTATGGAGGTGGTGGTAGGAGATTGACTCAACTTAAACCCATGGCTATTGTGCGCATCAATTAAGAAAGGTGGAATACGAGCCACACGTCTGCACGCGTGCCACGACGTGCACGGGCTCGGATAGCCAAGCCATGACATGAGTGTTATGGTACCAATGAAGGTTCTGCAGCACCAAACTCAAACACAAAGAAGTGTGAGCGGGAGATAACGGATCAATGGATGGAAGATGAGTGAAAGACGGTGGACCAAACTCAAAACGAGAACGGTGAGAGAGTGACGATGGATCGTTGACGGAAGAGGAGGGACGGACAAACGAGGGAGCCCAACTTCTCTACCGCCTAAACGACACTCAATTACACTTGATTTTGAGCGGTATCAGTTTTCCACTGGCGCGTATCAGATTACGCGATACTTGTTTACCGAGGTGGCTGAAACAAATGGCTAACACCGTAATTCATCACCCGCGTGATCATATCAGATACATTTCCCCCAACTAAACACCATCTAAAAAATTTGGAGAGGGAAATGTTTACACTTTAATATTAGAAGATATATATGTAGATTATCTACGATATAATGATCTCATTATGCGCACAATAAAATCTAGGGAAAGAGAAGGCTTCTCAAGTGGGTCATAACTTTTTTTAACGGTAACAGGAGGGGTGGCTTCTCAAGTCTTGTCGACCCACTTGTCTACCCCACTTTTTTTTAAAAAAAATCTAGGGAAAGAGAAGGCTTCTCAAGTCTTGTTTTTTTTTAAAATCTTCTCAAGCGGCTTCTCAAGTCTTGTCGGGGTCAATAACAAATGCCAGGAAAACAAAACTTTCCCGCCGCCGCCCGGCGCCACCATTAAACAACTCCAGCAAGGTGGGGAGGACCGTACCGGAAGAGATCGGGAGCAAAAAATCAGACCATGAATCCAGTGTCCCAAGCTCCCAACGAAACAGACAAGAACCAATCCGCCCAGGGACCGATGGAGCCCGATCCGTTCGAGTCGCCAACCAGGGGCGCGGCGGCGCCGCAGTCCTCATCCTCGTCGCTGATCTTCCTTGGCACGGGTTGCTCCGGCGCGCTGCCCGACACACGGTGCCTCCTCAAGCCGTCCACGCCGCCCTGCGACGTCTGTTCCATGGGCGTCTCCCTCCCTCCGGAGCGGAACCCCAACTACAGGTGCACACAGTACTTCTACGGGCAACGAATTTCAGCTTCAATTAACATGATTTAATCCATTTGACGCTTCAATTTCTTAGAAATACAATTTTAAATTTAGTTAAAGTTCATTTTCCAACCTCCAAATTACACAATAGTCCAATTTTCAACCTCTAATTTGAAAACCGGATAATTTGGTCCTTTAGCTAGTTTCCCAGGTAGTTTTCTATTTTCTGGAAATAATTAAAATTTGCCTTAGTATAAAAAAAATCATAACTAATTTATTTTAAATCAGATAAATATGAAACTAGTTCCATTTTTCCTTTGAAAGATGTTATCTATTCGTTGTTCACTCTATTTAAATTTATTTGAAACTTATTTATTTCTATTTTCTATTGTCATATTGCTTGTATTGAAACACTAAGAACATGAACAAATAAGTTTCAAATGACTCCAAATATAGCACTAATGATAGATAATTTTTTTAGAAAAAAGCTTGGTATTGGTTTCACTTTTTTCTTATTTAAGATAAATTACTTATGATTTTTTAGATATTGAACCACTTTTTATTTTATTTTTAGAGAAAATATAAAGTTAGCATTGAAACTAGTTAGAGGACCAAATTTGTTCGGTTTCAACAATTGTAGGGTTTTCGGTACCTGATTTTTGTGGTTCAACATTGAAAATAGAGCTAACGTGGAAGTTAAAGGTTGAAAAATGTACTTTACCCTTAAAATTTTGCTCCCAGAAGATATATCCTTTTCCCCTCACATTAATGTTCTATAGATATATTTAGATAACTTTGTGAGGGCACTTTGTTGATTTTATAGTAGGAAAGTAGAGAACCTTGGTACACGTGCATTGGTCATAGAACATCCTACACTCCTACTAGTGCTTAGTACTGACAAAATGCATATGCCCGTTTGTTTTCAGGCTGAACACCTCCCTCTTGATAGACTATTGCCATGACGAAACCCACAAGTACATCCTAATTGACATTGGCAAGACCTTCAGAGAACAAGTTCTCCGGTGGTTTGTTCACCACAAAGTTCCTTCCGTTGACTCAGTGAGATTTTTGACAGTGCATTTTTCTGAAAACAACTGATGTTCACCCTCAATTCTTGTGACAGCAGCACTAAGAGGGTACTCTGCACTGCAGATCATTCTGACTCATGACCACGCGGATGCTGTCTTAGGCCTTGATGAAGTCTGGGTGGTACAACCAAGAAATGGCAGAAATGACATTGAACAAATTCCTATTTTTCTCACACAATTCACCATGGACAGGTTCACCTTCACCTCATTCTTTCTTAGTGCACTGAATGACCATTGAATAACTGCACTGCATTAGTCACCAACACAATGTGTCATGTAATACCAACCACCAAATTTACAGTATCGCGAGAAGGTTCCCCTACTTGATGGAGCAGAAGCCAGAGGATGGCGATGAAGATGCCCAAGCCACGAAAATTGACTGGAAGATAATTGAGGATGATGTCGACAAACCGTTTGTAGCATCAGGGCTAGAGTTTGTGCCGTTGCCGGTAACAACAACCAGCGTTGTTAAGCAATATCTAATCTTGTTACTTGTTTACCTTCTGGAATGGTGTTACTTAGCTTGCTATTCTATGTTCAGGTAATGCACGGAGAGGGGTATATTTGTTTAGGCTTTTTATTTGGGAGGAGAGCCAGAGTTGCATATTTATCTGATGTTTCGAGATTTCTACCTAAAACTGAGCATGGTAAAAAAGTAATTCTTGGCCCATAATCCTTTCTTTAGATAATTAGAGTACTTGTTCTTATGGATTATAGATAGGAGAATTTTAATCAATACGGCATGGCGTTTTTCAGTGACATGGTAAAGGCATAATTTGTAATGAAACAGAAGACGATACTAATCTTTTCAGTTGCATCCAAAATTCTCGACATTATTTATGAATCTGGCTGATAATGCAGCAGGTTATTTTTCTATTGTTGTTGCTGAAATTTGTATGCCAAATGCTATAGGTGGGGTATTGAACAAAAAAAAAATCTACACACCAACTCCAGTTATTTCATCTGGTCAAATTCAATGGTACCACTTTTCAGTATGTTTCTCGGAGACCAGAGTCTTAGTATATGTATATGTCAGCTATCAAATAGTTTTAACAAGATTGCAAACACATAATTTCACACGGCAAAAAGTCTAGCGTTTTTTGTAGTTGGATCTCTTGTTTCTTGCATATTTTCCTGCTCCATGTCACTGAGTGGAATATAATGCTGAATTGCTGATGCTGTCTGCCTCTAGTTATTTCAAAGTCTGGTGCTGGACAGCTTGACCTTCTTATACTAGAAGCAAACGCTTTGCATGGAGTCGTAAGTGTCCCACATTTCGTGTCATTGATGAATACAAAATTGCTGATTATCTGATACAGTTAAAGTCCAAATGCTGTCAAATATGTTGATGGTCTGACATGGGCTTCATGTTCTGAACAGGGAGATTCTTTCAGCACCCATTTAACTCTGAGTGAGGTTATTTTTCAAGGACTTCTTAATATTTTCCTTGAAGTTTTTTTAATCAGATTCTCTTAACAAACTGTCAAGTGTTTCTTGTGGGGGAAAGTAATTTGTTCTTCAGCATGAAACCAATGTTCTATTTTTGCAGAGTCTTGATGCTATCAAGAGGATCCGTCCTAAACGAGCTCTGTTGATTGGAATGAGGCATTTTTTTGAGCATCAGAGAGAAAACCAGATGTTGGCAGAATGGTCTATCAGGTATGGAATAGTTACATCTCCCTTAATTTTCTCTAAGCAAAAGGACTTGTCTCATGCTTTATCTTTTCTGATTATAGAGAAGGAATACCGATACAACTGGCTCATGACGGCCTGCGTGTATTCATTGATTTGTAATAAGGTATAAAAGGTCACTTTGCAATATTCGAGGACTATTGTATTCGTTGGTACTACTCCGTTTCAATTTATAGGTTGTTTTGACTTTTCTAGATACACAACTTTTATTATGTATCTAAACATATGTTATATCTAGGTGCATAACAAAAGCTATGTACTTAGAAAAGCCAAAACGATCTATAATTTTGGACTGAGGGTGTACCTTTGAACAATTTCAATGATGTCGTTGCAGATTACAGCATCCTTATGACCATATCTCTGTTGATGATTAAATGAAGATCTGCCAGACCAGTAGTCTAGCAATTATTTTGTGATTTTTTATGTGTCCAAAAGATTGTAATTTTACTCAAGTTGCTATTCTTTATACACTACAGTATATTATATTGTTCTCGTAGATGTTGTTAATTGGATAACACAATGATGTCCTAAGCCAACAGTAAATAAAAGAGTATGGATGTGGTAACAAGTTAAGGGATGCATTGTGTATAGTATGAGCTTGAACTTGTGACTTCCTTTACTTGAAACTCTCTGCTTGTGTATATTTGCCAGCATGGCATTAGTATTTTGTTGTTGGAATATTTTTGTTATCTCCTTATTTTTTTTAACAGTATTACGATACAAGCAACTTGTTACAATGAAGGGACCAAAAGGCTCAAATCACCTTGTTGTCACATAGTTGTATACTTAGTTATTTAGGGCCTGTGCCTGTTTGTTTTAGCTTTACTGGTTTCTGCCAGCTTGAGGCCAGAAGCTGAAACAAACATCCTGTTGAGCTGGCTTTTAAAAAGGGGAAAGCTGCCTTTGGAGAAAATAAACTAAAAGCTGATTCTGAGGAGGTTTTCTGGCTTTTGGTGTGTTGAGAAGTTAGAAATTTATTATAAAAATCAATAGCAAAAAGCCAACAGCTAGAAGCCAAAAGCTGCAACTCAAACAAACAAGCCCGTAATGTTTTGAATAGTTAGTAATTACCAATATTGCAAATGACCTTTTTCGTTTGAAAAATGCAAAGGTTTTAAGTTTGCACACAAAGCCATCTTTTTTGTTGTTGTTTCGCAACCAGTGGTTTGAGAATGAGGTCTCAAGAATCCTTAAAATAGTATTTGACTTTTTGTATAAGAAAAAAAATCAATGATTCTACCCCTGATTTGTTTAAATGTTCTAAACCATCCACCACTCGGTTCACTTTATAACCTGAGGCCATCTGAAGTGGATTTTGCGTGGCATGAATTTCTTCAAGGAAACTCACAAGTAGCCTTGCTAGACAGAGACACCACACATTTGATTTGTTTTAATTTCCTTCCAGTATTTCACTTATTGTTGTATACTTATAGCTAACTATGGGTTGCTCATGTTGTGTCATAAGAAAGTCAAAACAAGGATATTTCACAGGTTGAAAGATATGCCAACCTGTTAAAAAATGGAACATGGCAGTTCTCGGCATACAAATTTGAAGTATTATATTTCATTAGAGTGTTGATGTTTTTTTTAACATAAAACCACCACATTAGAAAAATCCAAGACTGCCTTACAGAATTGGGGATACAATCCAATAGATTCAACGTTGCCCTATTTCTCTTGTCAATAGGATAATTCATTTTAGGGGGCGTTTGGATCCTTTCATTTTGAGGAATTGAAATTTATATAATAAATTAGGCTATTTGGCTTGGAATTTGACATTCCGCCACTTTCCAAAGTTCATTTATAAGCCTATCTCAAATTCATAAGGTGGAAGATGGAAATGGATTCTATAGATCATCATGTTATGTTTCTACTTTGCAACTTATAACACGCTCTTCAATTCGCTCTCCTACGGTAGAAATGCAACACATAATTATCTTTCTAGTATTGCCAACAATAATATACAAATATAATCCATATATAACCATATTAGCTTAATTAATATGCGTCTAAATTATGATTATTAAAATGAATTCAATTCCAAGGATCTAAACGGGGCCTTAAGAGATTTTATAATGGTTTATGGGGATTGTGGAAACTTGAGAAATAACATGTGTTTCCACTTTTCAGAATAGAATGTGGAAGAGTATGTCGTAGCTGTGGCAGCAGGTAAAACATATGCTCAAGAATTGGCCTCTGTTTTGCCCGACATGCTTCCTCGACAAGTTCAGATCATGGGTGTAGAGTTTGGTGGTGATAGGCTCAAGACGGAGATGATCGAGATGGGAAATGTCGCCTGATCTTGCAATAACTTCTGACTCACGGCAATATGTTGAGTGCTACACCATGTTGGAGCAAGCAGGACACCTGAAGATGCCCATGTATCATGGGAGTGCTAGAGATGAGCGCATGAAGGAGATGCTAGCTGAGATGTGTTAGAATTGATCTCATCCGTCTTGACCCAACAGTCGAGACGGACCCCTTGACCGCGTCCTGATCGGGGACGTCCAGCCATCTAGTGGTTGGTGGGCCCCCGTCGCACAGTGCATATAAAGAGGAGGTGGGGCAAACGGCTCTTGACACGAGGTTCACCGCCGCCACAGCCCCACTGTCCTAACCCTAATCCGATCCAGAGGGTGGCACTGCCAGCGGCGGGAAGCACCACTACGCCGGGACTCCGCCACCTCTACATCGTCACTGCCAACCGCCACTGACACCGACGCCATGGACTCCTCGAGCTTGTCCACCAAGCCCGACGGTCTGTACCTCTCCCTTTTCTCCTCTCTCTCTCTCTGGATCTATGTGTTCGAATGGAAGTCAAAATACCCACTTATCTACTCCTAGGCAATCCAAAAGAGTTAACAATGGTATCAGAGCTAGTTGCAAGGTGTAGATCACGGCACTGGGCAAAGAAAAGAAAAGAACGGAGCTAGATCCGATTCGGATCGAAAGAAAAGAAATACAAAGGGTTCATCGAACCCTAAACCCTAATCGGGTGAAGAAACGGGGAAAGAAGGGGTTTCGATTTCAAAAAGTATCCGAACCCTAACCCTAACCCACGTGGGGAAGAAGAACAGTCTCTAACCCTAACTGGGTGAAGACGGAAGGGGCTCGGCTTCAAGACCGCTTGATCCGAACCCTAAACCCGTGACCAGATCTCGGGGCAAAGAAAAGAAGAAAGAAAAGAAAGAGAAACGAACTTCGGTTCGGAGAAAATGAAACCCTAACCCTAAATGAACACAGAGAGATGGACGGAGGGTAGGGACCTACCTGGTTCTCTCGTCGCCGTCACAACCGCCATCGCGCGGGGAGAAAGAGGCCCGACGACACTACCGATCTCCTGTGCGAGCTCGCCGCCGGTCCAGATCAGGGAGCCGCACCGCTGCTGTCTTGTGCTCGCGCACGCGCGAACTCGAACTAAAGGGCGCCGGTCGCAAGGCCATTCGACGGGGCCGCGCGCAGCCGCACGCGTGCACCGGCAAAGGGCCTCACGGCGGCGCCATCCTCTCCCGCCGAACGCTTCTTTCCTGGCACCGGTACGTCGAGCTCCCTTACGGCGGCTTGCCGGTTGCGTGAGAAGAGCGGAGGGAGAGAAAGGAAGAGAAAGGATAGAGAAGGGGAGCCGACCGGATCTTGCACCGGCGGCGCAGCCGGTGGCGGCGAGAGGATGGCGCAGCGCGAGAAAGACGGGGAAAAGACCTGAATGAGGACTAGGGTTTAGGGAGGCGTCGACTGCTCCGGGTTTTGTTCGCCCGATCTGTAAGTAGAGCCGTCGGATCGCTATCAACGGCCAGAGATGAATGGGCTGTCTTTTGGCCCAGGTGGGAAGACGAATTCCAGCCCGTGCCCAAAGTTGCGGCTCGGAGCATGGGGGAGAGCAACATGACGCTGGTTATTCTTGGGCAAGCGCTTGGGCAGCCTTCTAAGCCGAAAGGCGAGTGAATTAATTATCACTGCTGCAGTCAAGCTAGAATGAATAGTAAATGATGTTTTGAAGTCTATTTATTTTTAGAAGCATATTTGAATGAATTTTGATCAATTTGAAGGTTTAAATTTCTGGTAAAATTGCACCAACGTGTTAGATTTTCCATAGAGTAGAAAAGTACAGTAAAATGCTTCTGAAAAGTATATAAAGAAATTTTGTCAAGTTTTCGCTGCAAAGTTAAAGATGTTGTCTTCTTATTAAATTCGAACCAACGGGAGAATTTAATTTGAAGAGCAGTTATAGTTATTCGATAAATGATGAAAAGTTTATCCTCCAGTTAAAATTGGAACCAACTAAAAAAATAATTGGAGGAATAGTCGGTTGATAGTTAAGATAAATTATAATATTGTTATTTTCTGACCAACGTTGATGATAACAATATTATAAGTTTATTTATGAGTTCAAGTTTAAAGTTAAATTATGGTATTGTTATTTTCTGACCAACGTTGATGATAACAATATTATAATTTTATGAGTTTTATGATTAAAGTTTAAATCTCTGATGAATTTTGCATCAAAGTGACCAATTTTCAGAGAATAGATAAAGATCAAGGAATGCTCTTAAACTAGAGAAATGTATTTTCATGTTTCCGCTGCAATGAAGTTGATTGTCTTCTAATTAAATTCGAACCAACGGGAGAATTTAATTTTGAGGAGCAGTTCTATGTTTTCAAGATTATTGAATTTCTATACGTTAATTCCATTTCTGCCCAACGGTGATGTGGAATTAATGTAGAAGAATGATGTTTTATTCTATTTCTGCCCAACGGTGATATAGAATAGAACATAAAGTTTTCAAAGTTTAATGAGCATTATTGTTGAATATTTTTCAGACAAAAGACCTCCAAGCTTTCATTCTTGAAGGCAGAAAGAGAAATGAGCTGGGTACTTGTGACTCAGATGATGAAATGCCTAAGGACAAGTTATGTATGAAAGAATGCCATTGGTTAAGGGACTGTATTCTCTTTAAAGAATGGCTTTAAAAGAAAAGAATTCTAGGATATTGATCCAAGAAAAGAGATAGATCAATGAGAGTCTTCATTGAGAAATGTCTTTTATGTACTCTCTGTGGAGAATAATTTATTTTCAGTTTCACTTATGAGAGTTGTAAAAGTCA